TGTATGTACCTATGTATGCATGTATGTATGTAGGCATGTATGTATGTATGTATGTATGTATGTATGTATGTATGTATGTATGTATGTATGTATGTTGTGCGTATATATATATATGTATAAGATTCAGTCTAATATATAATACAAACGCAAAATGATATATATATATATATACACACACACCACAGAGACATACATATTAAATACACACACACACACATAGAGTCCGAAGATACGAACATTATTAAACGCGGCCCTCATGGTCGTGGACGACCTCATTCCGTAATAGGTATAGTATTTATGGAGTCTCTGGGATAGGCTCCCCTTGTAGCTTCGCGTATGTGGCTTAAACAAAGGGCCCTTAGATAAAGAACATCCACGGTGTTTAAACATGTTAGGGTATGTGCTCTAAACCCTAAACCCTAAACCACGGTTGTTATGTTGGAGTCTAGGGCTTCGTTTCAGGGCTCAGCGCTGCTTTTGCCCTCAATCCTAGACCCTGAACCGTACACCCCAAACCACAGGGCTCAGGGGTCAAATTTAGAGTTCAAGGCCTCGCATGCGCATGTCAGGAAAACGCTCAAAAAATAGAAGGAGCGACTTACCGAGTAATATAGAAGTGGAGCATATAAATAGCATTAACAACCTCAGAGTCCAGACATTCTTCTGGCCTTGTTCTAAGTACCAGGACCCCTGTCCCCTGAATCCCCAAACCCTAAAAACCCCATTTAGACCCTCAGTTGTAGAGCCGTGACAGGCGCCCCATAAAGGCCACACTCGCCATATTATGCCTTGCAGGGAGGCTCAGGAAGGTAAACGAAAGCCATTGTACTCTGCCGCTCAGCCATGCCAGACCTTTGGGACTTATGCCGGAAGAAATACATGACAGGGTTTAGGGTTTAGGGTTTAGGGTTTAGGGTTTAGTTTAGGGATGCACCACCATCTCTGGCATCTGCACGACGGTGCTCCACAGCTAAATCTTCGCAGCATGCTTGCGCTCCGGTTCAGAGCTGTACCCGGTACTCCAAGCATCAAGGGGCGCAAAGAAAGGATTCAACCAAGTCGATACTTGGAGGATAAGGGGCCTAGCAAGTAAGGTTATAAGTCCCTAATTGGGGCTATAAGTATATATAAGTACAGTTAACCTTAATTATAACCCTACTTACTAAGTCCCGTGATCCTTTAAGTAAAAACCCTAAAACCGTAAACAGGAACTCTCCCGAAGTCTGCACAAAGTCCTTTTCCTCAGTGCGCTTATCAACAAATCCTGCGCCAGGACGACCACCGGCCACCATGGTGTCTCTAATTTAGGGTTTAGGGTTTAGGGTTTACCACCATGTTGTCCCGGACTTTAATCCTAACCCCTAAACCGTAAACCCTAGATCCTACGCCCGAAACCCTCCGGAAGGGAGTAGGGTCTGCCCCGACCAAAGAGTATTACGTAGCCCTGCCTGTTGAGCTTGGGCTCCTGGGCACTAGGGTTTAGGGTTTAGGATTTAAGCTTTGGGATTTAGGATTTGGGGTCTCTAAGGTTTAGGGTTTAGGATCTAAGGTTTAGGGTTTAGGCTCAAGCCTACATATCCCAAGTCCAGATCAAGTCCGAAGCCTTCGGAACCTTCGCCAGCGACCCTCCAACTCCTAAACCCTCAACTCTATATGGGCAGTTCTCTAAAATAGTGTCCCTCAGGGTGCCGTACTATATTTGGGACCCCCAAAACCCGAATTTAGAGAACTACCTACATCCTAAGCGTCATGCCGAAGGAGAGGCCCAAAAATCTAAAACCTCCTACGCCAAACACCAAGCCTATCAACTCTAAACCCAAACCCTAAACCCTAGACTCTAAACCCTAACCCCTCAACCCTAAACCCTAAACCCCTCAACCCTACACCCTTAACCCTCAACTCTAAACCCAAACCCCAAAGCCCTAAACCCTCCCGATCCTGAGCAGCTCTCGGCTTTCTGCGAGACCGTGGCGATGGTTCGCCTTACTTTGCCTGCTTCAATGATACTGTTGAGGACACCCCTCAACCCTAAACGCTAAACCCTAAACCCTAAACTTCTAAACCCTAAACCCTCAAGCCTCAACCCTAAACCCTAAACCCTAAACCCTCAACCCTACACCCTAAACCCTAAACCCGAAGCTAGGGTTTAGGGTTTAGGGTTTATGGACCTTAGGGGCCCTAGACTAGGGGAGTGATGGTACATCCCTTATTATGGGAACTGCAGGATTTATATCATCAGCCGGATAGCTTCGGATTTAGGGGGTTGAGGGTTCAGAGTTTAGGGCACATGGGCTTAGTTAGGTTTAGGGTTTAGGGTTTAGGGTTTAGGGTTTAGGCTTTAGGGTTTAGGGTTTAGGGTTTAGGGTTCAGGGTTTAGGGGACTATATGAGGGCTTAGTTAGGTTTTTGTGGGGGCCCAGAACACCGCTGAACTAAGCAATATCCTTAAAATTCTGACGTGGGCTCATTCTTAGCACAATTTGAGGGCCAACCCTCACCCTCTGTCGTCTTGCGATCTCACAGGTATTTCGGGTCAAAGGCTTTTTCAAAGGTCTCCGAGCAGCCTCTGCCTTTAGGGCTGTAGAGTCTTAGGGTTTAGGGCTTGGGGTTTGGGCTTTCGGGATCAAGGGTTTATGGTTTAGGGCATAAGGGCTACGGGGTTTAGGGCTTCAGGGCTTCAGGACTTTAGGTCTAGGATCCCGCCGCAGCATGGCGTACAACGGCGCCGAGAGAACCTTGGCCGTTTCGGCAGCCAAAGGCACCTTAAACATAGGGATTCGAAGCGTTCGGCGTCTCTCCATCAGCATCACCACTGCGGTCTTCTCGAGGCATGTCAAGTTACTATAAACAGGATACCCTATTTATTTCTATAGATCATAATTGAAATTACGTTTCTTAACTTCTTAACAGGAATCCAGCCAAATTTGCCGGCGCTGCCACTGCAGGGTATTGTGGGCTTCCGTTTTGGCCCGACTGAAGACAGTGCTGTACCCACAGGGATGTGGCTTGCATGTGGCTCCGCAGCAAACGAAACCCACAGCGTCGGGTGTTCTAATGTATGGAATTCGACATAGGGCCGTGGCACGGCAACATGCCAGGGCTTGTCCGTTTCCCAAACCCTAAACCCTAATCCCTAAACCGTAAGCCCTAAACCAAAAACGGTAGCCCCCGATTGTAAAGCACAGCAGTGCGGACCTGCAAGCAGTAGCAAGTAGCAATCCTGCATCACCTTTCACGTGCCGGCACAATTGGTCCCGCAACCAGGGAAAGTTCGGGCGACCGGAGTCCTGATAAAAGCTAAGAGTGACATCAAGACTGTCTACCGTTTAGGAGTTTAGGCCTAGGCGCAATGCCGAAAACCGAAGCCAAAACTCAAGAAGCTTTCCATGCCTAGATATCACAGCCAACCCCCCCCCCGAGCCGTCATCCGATCCCTCTAAGGTTAAAACTTCGCCCAATGGACCCTTCTTTACTTCAAGGAACATAGCACTTACTGACTAGGGTTATGAATAAAACGTTAAATATACCGTATATAAACACGGAAAACCCCAAGTAAGGTACTTACAACATCTTACAACCTTACTCGCTAAGTTACTGAGTCCCATGATCCTCCAAGTACCCTCGCCCCGATACCTCCAGATCGATAGGTTTCGGCCGCGCCCAAATTCACTGAGCCCAAAAGCCTACAACACCGAAACGCTGGAGTGGGGCTTTCTCGAAGCCAGCAATGTCGGAACCCAGGATCAGAACCCTAGCTTTGGGTTTAGGGTTTTGGGTTTAGGGCTTAGGGTTTAGGGGTTTAGGGGTTTAGGGTTTAGCCATATAGCCGTAAAAAATCGAAACCCCTAGACGCACGAAGGGAGCGTGGGAGTGATGGGATCTCGCCTGCTGCTTTCTCCACGCCTTTCTCATTGAAGGACTTGGACGAAATGCGCCTGGTCGGTTAGTGTTTACCTTTTGCAGTTCCTCTTAAATGTAGGGGCCTTATAATTATCCATAATATGTTGGGGGTCCCTTAATATAGTTATAGTATAATCCTATCCAACTCCCTATTCTAAATATTAAGGCCCCTATATTAGGTTTGTTTAGGAGGGGGAGGTGTTGCAGGAGTTACGCAGACTTCTCTTGGACCATAGAGGGTGTTAGAGGATATATATATATATATATATATATATCCTGTTTTATGGGCGATGGGGTCAAGTGTCTAGGGCGGTTAGATTCGGATAGATTAGATGATCAGAATTCAGCGAAGGCTGTTGTAGAGCTTCGGTTGGGGGCTGTGGGATTTATGGTTGAAGGATTGAACCGGTTGAAGCTTGAGGGAAAGCTAGTTAAGGGTTTTACAACGTCAGTGACCACCACCGACGGTATTTGGGGATTTCCGACATAGGGGACCCTATGATAGTACCCTAAATAGTAGGATCCTTATTATAAGGACCCCTAAACCCTAAACCCTAAACCCTAAACCCTAAACCCTAAACCCATAAGGTACCCCCCTCAATTTTCGGAAACTCCCATTTCTTTCTGCCACAGACGCCTGGGTGTACCAAAGTCCCCGGGGGACCTGCGGCCGCTCCCTTTAGGGTTTAGGGTTTAGGGTTTAGGGTTTAGGGTTTAGGGTTCATGAATTCAAGCAGATTCCCACTCTACGTCTACTCCTCACAGGGCCACCAGACACTATATCCCGGCTAAAGTTTTAAAGTCTATAAACACTGAACCCATAAAGCCTGAGATGCAAGTACAGACAGAGAGAGAGAGAGAGACAGAGAGACAGAGAGACAGAGAGAGAGAGAGAGAGACACAAACAGAGAGAGAGAGAGAGACACAGAGCGAGCGCGATGGAGGGAGAACGAGGCAAAGGGTGCTTCAAACGTACATATCTGCTTGTTGGATGCATCAAAGCAGAAGCATCGTCTCTTGGGTCCCATAAACCCTAAACCCTAAACCCTAAACTCAAGCCTAAACCGTAAACCCTATACCCTAAACCCTAAACGCTAAACCCTAAACCCTAAGATCTAAATCCTTAACCCTAAACCCAAAACCCTCTAAATGCTAAACCCTAAACCCTAAACCCTGAACCCTTAAGATGCCGCCAGGGCACTGGTTCAGGCGCTCGTTGAATTGAACTTCTTGCGCGTTGGTCTGCACATTGAGGTTTTGGTTTAGAGCCTAGAGTTTAGGGTTTAGGGATTTAAAAGGGGTTTGGGGGCTAAGGGTTTAGGGAATAGGGGTTTAGGGTTGCGGCCCAATATGTTTAGGGCCCAGGGTTTCAGCTTGGGGGAGAAGAAATGGACGAAGGCTGCGCGGTTTGTTTCAGGGGGAGCAGATAGACTCCATGTCTTTTAAGCAAGTCCGTTGCCCAACAACCACTGGCCTGGTTGATTCATTCATTCACATCCGTTGCGGATGTGTACTTGCAGATATGCAAAAGCAAGACATAGCTAGACCTGCAAGAACACTGTTCCAAACTCCGACACCCCCAAACGCTTTTCTAATTGATCAAGGCCCCTTAGCCTTCAACGCTAGACCCCCGAAACGCTAAACCCGTTCTTTTGTAAAAGCTCTCGGGCTTAGGGTTTAGGATTGGAGCATGGAGCTCGGAAAGTAGCGACGTGTTTTGGGTTGTTTTGGAAACCTTACCCGCGGCATGAGGGTGTCCTTTGAATCTAGCACAATCTAGCACAAAGTCGGCTTAAAGGTTCCTGAGAGATTTCTAGATTGAGGGCTCAACAAACAAGGGGGCTTAACAACTAGAATGGGGTCTCAGGGTATGTTTCTCTGGTACGCCTACTTAAAGGATCCTGGGATCCTCCACGTACAGTAGGGACTTTCCTGGGGCACTACTGCTGTCCTCTTCTTCTTCCTCGATCTCCCGCGAGACATTCCGGAGGAACTGAGCGATGACGTGCATACCTTGCGGGATGGCTCTGAACCGGTACCCATAGGCCCTAAAGTAGTTCCTGTTTGGGGTTCATATATAGAACCATATAAGGTAACCCCAAAAAGGAAGTACTATAGGGCCTATGGGCAAGTATCTAGGTCCCCCAGTCGCCCGTTGTAAGAGGGGCAATCGTTTGCACACTAACGGTCGAAAACAGCGCAAAACAGCACTACTGGGAGATCTAGATCTACCAGCGACCACAACAAGGACAACAAAACCTGTTCGTATTCAGACATCAACGATGGTAGTCTAAGGTTTAGGGTTCAAGGTTTAAGGTTTAGAGGCCACATCTATGCAAGGAAAGCTGCAATGAACATAATTCAACAAGGAATCCCAAAACCCCAAAAACTTAGACCATGCAAAGTCCGATGCTGCAACTCTAACCCTGCAAACCCTACAGCAGAAGACCAAGAACCCAAAGACCGGAGCCTCTGAGCCTCCAGAAACCTCGGACATGAATCCCACTTAGAAGGAATATATATATATATATATAAACATGGGACTTAGATATATATATATATATATGTATATATAGACATATATATATATATGGGACTTAGTAACAAAGGTTTAGGGTTTAGGGTCTTACAGGACAAGGGGGACTTAGTAACAAGGGTTTAGGTGACAAGGGTTTAGGGTTTAGGGTTTATAGGGTTTTACAGGATTATGGGACTTAGCAACAAGGGCTTAGGGTTTAGGGTTTAGGGCTTTACAGGATTGTGGGACTTAGACTTAGTATCAAAGATTTAGGGTTTATGGTTTTACAGGATGATGGGACTTAGTAACAAGGGTTTAGGGTTTAGGGGTTTACAGGACTAGGGGACTTAGTAACAAGGGTTATAAACGGTTATGACATTGCGGTTAAGACAAAGGTAGCTCAACTTTTAGTTACACATAATCCAAATTAAAGTACTTTATAACCTTACTTGCTAAATCCGATGATCCTCGAAGTAACCCGAACGCCCCAAAACCTGCTGTGGGCTACCGCCAATACTGCTTATTAGAGACTCAAAGCATATTATGGTTCCCTGATCAGGAAACCTCAATACCTTAGCCCCTCAGACAATCCGAACATGTGTGTTGTTGCAGGTCCAAACATCCCAAAGAAAGAACAGACCAAACAAGTACCCAGGAGGCGTATAGAACTGAGAATGCAAAACACAACCATTCCAAACCTAAGTACTAAACCCTAAAAGCCCTAAACCCAAAGCCCTAAGACTCTGAACCCAAGGAACACCTTTGGAATTGAGTGTCTCAGTTTTGGGCTTCTGGGCAGTAGGGCTCCAGACCGAAAGGCTTTGAGGGTTCCTTTCTGTCCATAGTATGGCGTCCTTATAGGGTTTAGGGTTTAGGGTTTAGGGTTTAGGGTTTAGGGTTTTAGGGTTTCGGCCTGTTCGGATTAGTTCCGAAGAAAGTGTGTTTCTGGAATATTGGTGTTTAGGGCTTGCCATCTACATGTAGGGGTACAGGATTCGGCTTGTTGTTCTGCGATTCGGGGGTTCAGCGTCTAGGAGCCTAGGAACTACCTATAGAGTCATAACCTGCCCCTTTTTCGGGTACTTTCCTGTACATGGATCCCAGCCATAAAACTAAATACTACCTTGCAAAAACCGAAAAAAGAGGTAGGTCCTGACCCCTAAAAGTAGGACGTAGGTCTAGCGCTTATTGGGTTGGGATTTAATCTCGAGCTTAAGGTTTCAAGGCAAGCCGAGGATATCGGACATAGGGTAGACCCCGGACTACCCTAAACCCCTTAACTCTAGCTCTTCCTGGAGCCAGAAAGCTAACCCTACACACTTCAGGTGTCTTGCTGTGGAATCCTTATTTGAGCAAGGGGCATATGATCTGAACTATAGTGTTCGGGTTTCAACATCTGGACCCGAAAGCTTTCTGCAGCTTCGGCGTTGGGCCTAGTATACACGATGTTCGTGTTGCGGGTTCAGAACTGCTTTCCATGAACGAACCCTTAACTCTAAGTTTTTGTGTTGGGGCTGTTAACCCTAAACCCAAAACCCAAACCCTAAACCCTAACACCCGAACACCCTAAACCCTAAACCCTAAACCCTAAACCCTAACACCCTAAACCTTAACACCCTAACACCCTAACACCCTAAACCCAAAACCCTAACACCCTAAACCCTAGACCCTAAACCCTAAACCCGGTCTGTCTGTCTTGCAGGTGCGGTGCCCAGGTAGACGCAGACGCACGTGAGCACAACAGCCAACATTCCTGTGGGACACGCAAGAACCACGTAGTATAGGGGCCTTAATTGGAGTACTTGGAGGATCTCGGGACTTAGAAAGTAAGGTTGTATGTCCCTTAATTGGAGTTATCCCAAACCCCAGACCCGAAACCCTAAACCCTAAACCCTGAACCCCAAACCCTTAATCAAAACTCCTAAACCCCAAACCCTAAACTCTAAACCCTAAGGCCTGTACCTCTTACTGCGGTGTGGAGAAGTTCCAGGCCCTGAAGCCAAGAAGAGACCTGACCCTTTTCGCCTCCTCCCCCGAGCCCTCAACCCTGCTGGGGCTTAGTGTTTGGGTTTAGGGTCTTGGGTTTAGGGTTTAGGGTTTAGGGTTTAGGGTTTAGGGTTTAGGGTTTAGGGTCTAGGGTTTAGGGGTTTCGGGTTTATTTTTTTGGGTTAGGGTGCTGCAATCCCCCAAACTTCCAAATTCACTCACCAAGCCCCGGCACCTTAAGTGACAAGTGCCAATGCGATTTTAGGGGCCACCTTAACCCCAAACAACCTTTTTTAAGGACTTAGACAAAGAAATCATAAGAAGGAGCCCTACAAAAGGTAGGTTCTTTGGGGTCCAGTTAGGGTTTAAGGATTCAGGGTTTAGGGTTTAATTAGGGCTGAAGGATTCCGGGCTAGTGCAGGGTTTTCGGTTTCAGGGTTTAGGGCTCCGTCGCGAGTTTACAATAAGGCCTGTCGGGCCAGTCATCGTAGGTGTGTTTAGGGTTTAGGGTTTAGGGTGTAGGGTTCAGGGTTTCTGGTCCCTTGATGGGTCCCCACACATCTGGTAAGTCACTCTTTGCATGAGGAGCAGGGACAAAAGAGATCCTAGTGTGAAGAACATCCCCGCTGGAGGTAACATGCCCCAAACCTCTGTTCTAGTCATCAAGACCCCTTTACTACGGAACCCTTGTAAGAAAAACATTAAAGGAACCCTCTTCAAAAGTTGAGGCCCCCTTGAAAGCCCTAAACCCCAGACGCGAACCCCCCAAGGCATACGGTTTCAGCATCGTAGGCTCTCTTTGTTGTCAGGGGCTTAGGGTGCTTCTATTTGTGTGTAGGATGCTTAGAGCTCGAGCCCTCAGCCCCAAAAAGTTCAGGGTTTCGAGTGGCTTCGAACCCGCCCCCCCGAAACACGAAGCATGCTGCACCTGGTAGTGCTCTACATTACGGTCTTTATATATGGATGCCGTACCATCTTGGTGACCGAAAAAGGGATCCTAACTTCGATAGGGTTTAGGGTTTAGGGTTTAGGGGTCCCTAAACCCCTAAACCCTAAACCCTAAACCGTGGCTAAGTACCCTCATACTGGCCTGCGAGGATGAATGTCACCGTGACAGATGGGTTGGAGATGAGAACAACCTGAGCTGTGGGGCAAGGGTGTAGTGTTTTGGTTTGGGGGTTTCGGGGTTTAGGCTGTGGTTTTGCGCGTTTCGGGGTTTAGGGTTTGCGTTTGTGGAGTTTGGTGTCGAGGGTTAGGTTTGTGGGTTTGGGGTTGTAGGGTTTAGCATATTGGAGCTCGAGTGCTGGTCAAGTCGTTGATCCCCCCTCTCTTGTAGAACACTTCTATTAACCCCTGGAATCCTTCAAGGAACCATCAAAGGGATCCTACTCAAACTTGTTAAGTATTCTAATTTGCTACGGCCTCTACGGGTATATGGACACTCTTCCCTCACTTGTACGTATCTGTACTATTGCTTCGAGCTTGTCGTGAGGATAGGTGTACCCGGCTATGCATGACAATCAAGTTGAGGAAGGCAACACGGAGGCTACTGTAACCATGTGGGAGATTCCCAAAATAAGGGACCCTATGATAGTACCCTAAATAGTAGGTCCCGTATTATAAGGACCCCCAAAATAAGGCACCCCTATTTTCGGAAACTCCCATGTTACTACGAACCAGGAGAAGAATGAGGCGAAGAAGAGTCGTCACGAGCATACTAGCAGCAGCTAAGCAGAGCAAAACCCGAGTCTCGCGCTGCCTTTTGGGTTGCAACTAACATCCGCTTCAGGGTTTAGTGTTTAGGCTTCATTGCAGGTGACAACCAACACTCCACACCCTTTACCGGCGGACCACAAGCCCTACAGACCAACAACCCTACCAGTCCACTCAAAAACAAACCGAACGTTTAAGCCGTGAAAACCCCAGGCCCGAAATCTATTTCAGCCCCGGCGACCGAAAGCCCTTGGAGCACGTCTGCTACGTGGCTGCGCTTCGGAAAGTCTCGTGTCTACACGCCGCGGGACGGTGGACTTCGCCAGGAAAATCATGCTGAGGGCATTTCTGCAGCTACAACTACTTATGTAATGGTGGTCGTCGTCGATGCCCTAAACCCTATACCCTAAACCGCCCTAAACCCTTGACCCTAAACCCTAAAGTCGCTGTTGGTCGTCGTCCTCCTCCTCTTCCTCCTCTTCCCGGGACTCCTCCTCGCCACAGCCTGCCTTGCACTACATTTACAGCAAGCGAAGGTCTGATCCTCCTGAAGATGAGCGTTCGTGATATAGGGGCCTTAATAGTTAGACTAGGGTTTGGGGGGGTACATTATACCATAATTATAACACAAGGAACCCCCAAACATCGACAACTATACAAGGCCCTTTTCTTAGCATTATACTATATAACCCTATAACATAAGGAACCCGATTAAAAGTATAGGTAACTCGGAAGGCCCTTATATTAGACGAAACCCCTAAACCCTGCACCCCTATAAACCCATAAACCCCTAAACCCTAAACCCCTAAACCCCTAAACCCTAAACCCCCAAACCCCTATACTAAACCCCCAAACCCCTAAACCCCTAAACCCCTAAACCCCTAAACCCCTAAACCCTAAACACTAAAACCCGAGGCCCCTTTTTTGAGACGGCTGGGGTTTGTGTAACGACTCTGGGCTTCGGAGCTTCCTCGAGGGAATTCCGAAGACTCGACGCCACTAAGACCTAAAACCCTGAACCACACACCCTCCATGCGGGTTTGGGGTTTCGGGTTTAGGGGTTTTTAGGGCTTCGGGTTTAGGGGTTTTAGGGATTCGGGTTTAGGAGTTTTTAGGGATTCGGGTTTAGGAGTTTTTAGGGATTCGGGTTTAAGAGTTTTAGTTTAGGGCTTAGGGTTTAGGGTTTAGGGTTTCGGGGTTAGGGGTCCATGAAAAGGGCCCGGCAACACATGAAAGCCGTCCCCCTGTATAACCCAACCCCAAAGCCTAAAGCGCTCATCATAGAACTCTTGTAAGACTCCCTGAACAAACCCTATTCGAATTTCCAAGGCCCCTATCCCCGGTTCTAGGACCCTTATGAGCAGACCTGCACCAAACAACTTCTTCTAACTATTCAGGCCCCAAACCCTGAACCCTAAAC